TGAATCGGGGGCAAATTATAGCTTGGTTATTGTATCTAAAAAGACAAAGGCGTGAGCGCCTTCATTGGGTGCATCCTATTAATCCGAAATGTGAGGAAATGGGGCTATTCTACACCTCGTTTGAAGACCTGAGAAATGATGAACGGAAGTTTTTCAACTACTTTCGTATGTCAGCTGACTCCTTTGACGAACTGCACGGCAAACTGCAGAATGTCCTTCAACGGCAAAACACACAATTTAGAAATTGTATACAACTTAATGAAACGCTAGCTATAACTTTAAGGTAATAAGTAATACACCGACTGTTTTTACTTCCCTTGCAGAGGGAGGTATTGTAATCTTAAAAAAAATCGTCCTCCGCGATCATTGCTTATTTTCACGTTGTAGAATCTCTAAACCACTAAAAAATACATTTTTGTTTTCCCAATACCGTCGGTCAGTTTGATGGTCTGTCCGTCTGTCTGTTGGAAATTGCTGAAAAGCTATTTTTTGAACGTATATTAAACCGCAAAAAGAAACACAACTGTAAACAACGCGAATTAAATGGTAGTACTAGACAGGTTCCCGCACGATTGAAACCGTCTAGTATGAAAGGGTGCATTTGGCCACATAGTCAACTAAGCGAAGATACGATACGGCTACCGTTCATCTATAGTGGCACTAGACGGCTGCAACGCGATCAAAAATCGTGTCCGTGCCGTAACCGTATAATGTGAAAGACCTCCATACTCTTTATAGGAGACTAAAAATATTTCCCCGTACGATTTATTCCCGCACGGGCGAAAACGTGTAATGTGCAACGAGGGTTAGTCTTCAAAAAGCAGCACCGTCCCACCACCTTCTTCCTTCGAACCTCAACAAAATCGATTTATTTATATGTGTTATGCGTGGATGTCTTACATTTTATATTACCGTGTCGCTATTACGCATCGATTAACTTGCGGCGACCTGTTCAATGGAGTTTTTATTAGAATCGATAAAATTGAAAACGGGAGTAGAAACATTTATTTTTAGTTTGTTTTGCGTAGACGTACTTTGAATATCCGGTAGACGATTATTTATAAATATACCGATTTAGACACACTCGCTTTGTATCGAACTGTGTGTGAACACATGTACCATTTATAATTCTGAAAAATTGGGAGGGCAATAGGAAAATATCGGAAAATTCTTAGCCGTTGCGCAGGCTACCAGGAAAACCGTATTTTCAATGGATAAATAAATTTGCCAAAATTACGTAAATGAAAAAGTATTAGGTATTTATTTTGGCCCTGATTTTCACTAGGTGACAATATACTCTTCCTGTAGCCTGACATATCATCTTCTTTTTAAGAAACAACATCGATTAGGTAGGTAATGTATCGAAACTGTCTATATGGCGTGCTGATGAGTACTAATACCCGTAATCCTATTGCAATGTAAATAAAAAAACCGTTATTTACTGGAATAAGTACAATTTGTATGAAAATTGCTAATATATACCACACAGTTTTAATTAACATTAATATTTTTTTTTCATTAAAATAATTAATGCAGTTATGGAAACAACTGCATAATATTGTATTAAATTTAAGCTCTAAAAAACATAACTATACTACGATTATTATAATATCTAGAAAGGCTTAATATCCTGCTGATGCTCTCATTATTATTTAAGTGCAACTTTGTAATTAAAAGACCCAATTAAAGAACGAAATGTACTAACTATCCAAGTTAATTGATATGACCTTGATGTTACGCTCAAACTTTGCAGGAAATTAACGCAAAATAATAACGTACGTTTGACAATTAAGCATTTGCAAAACTATGAATAACAGACGCGTGTTATGAGAATATATCTACCATTTTCATTAAAGTATGGACGTGAAAATGATTTCAGAAGAAATAAACACATACAATTAATGTACAATTTACTCTATTTTATATTAGACACTACATAGTTATCTCATTTGCATAATTAACATTCTTGAAACACTATTTTTTCCTTTAATCGTTGAAGGGCTTTCTCTCTACAAATTGTAACCAAGACAAAGAAAAATACCATTTATTTCATCATCATCATAACGTCGTCAGTCCTAAGATTGGTTGGACACGTACCTCCACTCTTTCCTATCCTGAGCTAAACTTCGCATTTCCCTAAAACTAGAACAGCCCACATCCTTAACTATTTGCGAATAGTAATCTAATCTAGGTCTACCTCTACCCCTCTTAACTCCTGTTTCTGCCTCTAATATGTCTCTGACTAGACCTTCAT